TGTGTGTGTGTGTGTGTGTTTGTGTTTGGTGAAGTCATTTAAGATCTGTTGAGGGTTCTTTTGTTATTTCTGTATTTCAGACATTGTCTAGACTGTCCTGTGCCTTCAAGAAAGAGAATCAGACCAGAGTGGTGGTGTGTGATCTTGGGAACCCAATGAAAGGAGGAACTAAGGTAACCAACAGACTTTCTGAAGTGAAAGTATGAAGTGTCTGCATATGTATTTGTACCAAAAGTCATTTTATTTTTAATGTTGCTGACTGTAACATAAATTAGCTGTTTTATTTCATTTAATATTTTTCTGTAAAATTGTGGTGTTTGTGTAGATAATAGCAGGATTGCGCTTCAGCGTGCACCAGCTCTCTGAACAGGATACAGAAGTCAAGTTTGACTTGCAGATACAGAGGTATTTTAATTAATTAATATATTGCTTTTACAGTAATATAGTTTATAGATTTGCTTGTGCAATGTTAATTAAATTAAGTTTGGTGGGCCATTAGAACAAATGTAAAGCAAAGACACTCTAAACATATATTTTCACTTCCTGTCTTTTTATTTAAATCAGTAAAACTTCAGACAGCATTTGCTTCTAATGCTGCTGTTTCCTGCTGACTGCCAGTGTTTTTTTTTAAAAGTGTTAATTACAGGGAACTGCTCTTTTTGTGTCTTTTTCTACACACCCTCATGTCTTTGCCTGTCTTTAGCTCAATGATTTATAGTGCATTTCTGAAACACAGAGTGGAGTTTATGGAGTTTTATCTGTAAATGAATGAAATGTATTAGTTTTTGAAACAACAGCACCGCGTATTGCTTGGTTGTGGAAGTTAATAATTCCCTTCTGCTTTCAGCTCAAATCAGTTCAACAATACCAGCAATCTGGTGTCTGTTGTCACAAAGCTCGCTGTGCTGGCCAAAGTGAAATTAAGAGGGTATGATCATTTAAATTATATTTCTGTTAAACAAATGTGACTTTAAAATCATGAAATGCCATTTAGAACACATTTTACTTTAGAGTTGCAACAAGTTACATTTAGATAGAAGATTAAAAAGCAATTTTTTTAAATTTAGAATGACTTGTGCAATATGAACAGGATTATTAATTAAGTAAAAATTGTTCAGTATAGATGGAATATGTTCATGAAAACCTGAATGCTGAAAAAACAGTTGTACATTAATTGACTTGTACTAGGCACAGTCACACTTTGTATTTATCTGCTCTATCCTGTGTAGGGTGTCTGCGCCAGAGCAAGTGTTTTTACCCATCGCTAACTGGCAGCCAAAAGAGAGTCCTGTTCTGGAGGATGATATTGGACCTCTTGTACAGCACATCTATGAGGTAGAAAATACCATAAAGATCATTGGTCGAAGACATTATACATTTATTAAAATTTGGCAGTGCGTCATTTTTTATGATTTTAATGCTGCAATCACTGATCTTCCTAGCTAAGGAACACAGGACCCAGTACTTTCAGTAAGGCCATTTTGGATGTGCAGTGGCCCTACAGATTCAACAATGGCTCTCTGCTCTACATCACCAAGATTGAAGTGGACGGAAACATGAATTGCAGCTCAAACAGGGAGCTCAACCCTCTTAATGTCACTGTATGTATCCCACAATTGAATCATGATAGTATGTGTTTATATGTAAGACCGTTGTTAATAACCGGAGTAAACAGGATCTGAAACACCACTCCACACAAGCTGTATGATCTGTTGTGACATTTTGTGTGGACAGACAAATTAGTTACATGGATAGTTAAAACCTTTCTTGTTCACAACTTGGTTGTATTTAGGATCTCATCTAATATACCAGGGATAAACTTCTGCTTTTTCTTTCACCTAGAATCCCAGATTTATTGAAATAAATGAGACCTCGGCCAGCGGAGGCAGAGCTGAGGGGAGGAACAGACACAGCGTCCACCGCAGAGACTTGGAGGACAAACAAGGGGAAGAGAACCTGGAGAATCTGGTATATTCACAGCTATAACACTTGCCATTTGACAACCACCACTGTCTGTGAAGTACTTGGAACAGTTTTATATTGAATTTGAAATATATACACTACTGTTCAAAAGTTGTTCATTTCATTTTTTTTTTATACAGTTTATATTTATTTCTATTTTTGAAAGACGTTTCTTATGCTCACCAAGGCTGCATTTATTTAATGAAAAATACAAGAAACATAATATTATGAAATATTAATGCAATTTAAAATAGCTGTTTTCTATTTGAATATATTTTATTTCTGTGATAGCGAAGCTGAATTTTCGGCATCATTACTCCAGTCTACAGTGTCACATTATCCTTCAGAAATCATTCTAATCATTCATTGAACTGTCCTTTACACCAGTATGCATGAATGCAAGTACAATGGTTTGTGTGTATCCACACAGGATTGTGGGAATACCGAGTGTCAGGAGATTAAGTGTTGGGTCGGCCGGCTGGAGAAAGGCCAGAGTGCTATTCTATTCATTTACTCCAGACTCGCCGTGAGCACGTTCCTCAAGGTAAAAACAATTCAATTGACTAACACCACAAAGCCTTAAAGTTCTTTAATATACTGTTTTCACTGCACAAATGCTAATACACATAAAACACAGCAGTGGTTTTCTTTCCTTTTAGGCTGAAAGTCAAAACAAATCGTACAATGTTCGATCCACAGCCTCCTTCAGTGTCATAGAGATGCCATATAAAAATCTATTTTCTGAGCTCCCAACCAGCACGACATCAGTAAGTTTCTATGATCATCAATGTAAACGGGACATAACTGGATATACTTTATTTTTCTTGGATTTTCTTGAGTCAGAAAGTGAGTGGAATGGTTATGTGTAACTACTGTTTATGAAACGAACACATTTGTGCGCCAGATATATGGTGTTTTTAACTGTCTTCACTGATCATGACAGAGGGTTGTATGGTGTCAGTGTCGTAATCACACATCTCTGTCCTACAGGCCTCTCTGAAGGTGATCTGGAATTCAGAGAACCCTCAGCCTGTCCCAGGATGGGTGGTGGCTTTGGCTGTCCTGGCTGGACTTCTTCTCCTGGCTTTGCTCATCTTTGTCATGTATAAGGTGAACAGCTGTAAACATGAGTTAAATTACTTGGACTGATTGATAGTTTGATGGACTATGGATGTCAGAAGCAGCATTGCCTAGTCCTGTCTGTAATCAATTAAATATTAATTAATATTTTTAGCCCCTAATGAGTGACTGTTACTTGCATTTCCATGACCTTTTCAATAGTTATTTATTTTATTAAAGGGGTCATATGATGTTGCTAAAAAGAACATTATTTTGTGTCCTTTAAATGAAAACATACTTAGTCTGTGAGTCAGAACAGCCGGCATTGTGGTCTACTCTTCCAGGATCAGGAAACAGTCCTCCATAAAATGCGCTGCACACATCTGAATATTTGGGTTGAACTGTTCTGGAACAGTGTTGTAAATACAACTTAACCACTGATTTCTAGTCGTGTCCTCTTTTGGAAGACCAAACAAAGTAGTTTCGCTTTCACAACGAAACACACAGCGTCTCCACGACATGGCGGCAGCAACAATACTACAGCGAGAATAGAAGTTACGCCTTCTTTCTTTGCGTGAACATTTGGGCGGTGTTATGCAAATCTTCCCACATAGTGATGTAGACATGTGGGGGCATGTTAGAACGAGCCGTTTTAGGTAGACGTGGTTGACTCTTAACTTTTATAAAGAATATCTCTTTGGATTTGAGACTTTAGTCTTTGCAACTTTACAGATCTTCTTTATGCACCAAGAGCTTGTAACTTGAAAAAATTGAATTGAAACCGCATCATATGACCCCTTTAAATGTAAAAAAAAAAAATAAAAAAAAAATTCTCTCTCTTTTGATTTTTATTAAATGTTCATTGCTTGAACAGTAAATTTTCAGTGGTATTTGTATCAGAGATGTAAGTTTTGGTATTGAACTATGCACACACATATCAGTGACTGGTTTCATCTTGATTTCTCTCCTCCTCAGATGGGCTTCTTTAAACGTGTGCGGCCGCCCCAGGATGACAGCATAGAGAAAGAGCAGCTTCAGCCTCAGGAGAATGGAGACAGAAACACAGAAGCCTGAGCTCTTCGTCTTCACTAGCCTATCGCAGTGCCAAGGCAGGAATGTGCCTGATTTACACCAATGCTGATGAGAATACAACACTCCTTAATCTTTATTAGCAGGTCAGCATTTAATCATGCAGACAGCCCTGATGAGTGAGATGGCTGTCGTCATTTGAATGGTACAAAGCTGAGGTGGTTTGAATAACCATGATGCTCTGTTAATAAGACTAAATCCCTGTGCCAGTCCCTTTTCCCTTTGCTCCTGTCCTTCTTTAACTGCACTGAGTCTTAAGACGAGATTTGATTTTCAGTTGGGCATAAGGAATTAACATTTAAAATCGTAATACATTTCAAATTGTTTACAAGAAACAAAAATAAAGGTAATGAATCTTAAATAATAGAAAATGAGATCATGATTTTTACAGTTTTATTTTGTGGAAAGATGTGACGTAGTTTGGCACATCATTAGATTGCTGGTTCTGCTTCTTCTGTGGGAGAATCTTCTGTTATTGTTTTTCACAGCTCATTTTCTGCTGTTTGGGGCTTTCTGCAGGACTTTGGACTTCCAGTTCTTATCTGTTTTCTTTGCAGTTGTTTCAGCTGTTGGGATTTGGACTCTTGATTTCTTATTTGGGCGTAAAGTGTATTATTTTGAGAAAATATTTTTAAGTTTGTCTACTGTAAACACATTCATTTAATGCTGCTGCCCATATGAATTTACCCATATTGGGTTGCCATAAGTATGTTGTCTAAATTAAAAATTTTATACATTTATAATTCAATCAAAATTATGCATTTTCCACAAATAAAATGATCCAGAATATATTCTCTTTTGTTTGTAAAGTTTGTAAAAAAAATGTATTTTTAAGAATCTACCATGTTTAAAACAGATCACTGACTCTTGAATTTTTGACTTTCCTTTTCTTTTTTTCCCCCAATTTTGTTTAGCAACATGCTGTTAATGCTTTTGTATTTCAATAAACCAATATACTGATGTAGTAGGAATTGTTTTGTTTGTTTGTTTTGGTAGTTGGTCTTATGAATATAGCTGGACTTTGCTGGAATTTTATTTCTGGTGTCTAAAGCTCCTGTTATCATAACACAGTTTTCTAATCTACAGTGATGAACTTGACCTCACAGGACTTGTTTAGCTGTTAACAATTATCTGGTTGATGAATAACCAACTGCAGGCTTTAAATTCAAGAATAATCATCTTTAAATTCTACAGTGCTTCCATAGTTTTTGTCCTTGTGTACTTGAAACAAAACCGCTGTAAATAAGTTCTGCGCTTGTGATGAAGAAAATTAAGAACTGTAAAATTAATTGTGGATTTTATCATTTATTGTAAAAATGTTTGCATTGTACATAATGTAGAAGCTCACTGTGCATCTGTTCGTAAGAAGCTGAGATCACTGCCCGGTTCATAACCTGTAGTTTGCGTCCCCCTGAGAAAGAAACCCACAGCCTCAGAAAAAAATAATGCCAAATAGGCCCAGTAAGTAGGAAATAGGATTTGTCATGATTGTTTTCTGTTATATTTTTTATGTGCATGAGCAAGAGTCTCTGCATTACCTCTGGAACAGTCGTGCTTTGGTGCACCCAAGTAAGGTGGCATTGTTTCCCTCCACTAAGAGCATCGAGCCTTCCCGAAGACCCTGCCATCAACAACATACAGTGGTAGTGCTCAACTTTTTTTGATTTTCTTTTTCTTTTTTTGAATCAATATTTTTTATTTACAGTACAGATTATGTTACAAAAGATTTCTAATTCAAATAAATGCTTTTCTTTGAACTTTCTATTTATCAAAGAATCCTGAAAACAATTGTTTCACAGTTTATAAATATAATGCATCTTTGTTGAACATTAAATAGACTTACTGACCCAAGCAGTAGTGTACGTTAACATACCAGCACACATGGTGTGTCCGGCTCCTCGTGGTATTGGATAATTCTCTGTTCACGTGTTTCCTGTAAAATGCAAAATCAAATCTGCGTTCATGATGCCTGAACGATCTACTTTCAAAGTTTGGTTTATTACATTTTATATTTTCAGTAGGGTTATTTTTTTCATTTATGGCAATCAATTTTCACACAATATGGCACTGCATTTTTTTTTTTCGGGGTGGGGGGGGGGGGGGGGTTTATGGATTCAATATGGATAATTAGTCATGCTGTTGCGCATGATCAACTGTTCATACCCCCATATGTTTGCTGCTGGGATCAGGATCCAGATTGTGAGGGTTAATGTTGAAGGGCACTAAACCAATGGCAGCAAATGTGGGTGTATAGACGACGGGCATGTCATTGGTGGTGTTGATGCTGATGGTGGAGACATTGGTACCTGCACTTGATCCCATGTAAGGTATCCCATCCTATGAGAAAACAACCACACCTGTTACGGGCAATTATACTGTATTTTAGTTTTTGATTAATCAAGACACTAACTCGCCTCTAAAACTCTTTTTCTAATCTCAGTTACCAGCTTGTTGTAATAGAGAGCTTTCAGCAGGCGGAATGTGTTACCGCCACCTATTGGACACAAAAACAGTACAGCACAAAGTCTTAAGACCACACTGAAAACATGGGAATTCAACCCTGTGATGCAGGGATTTTTAAATCATACACATTATTTTATTTCAATTAGTTGCCCAGGCAACATCTCAAATTTTTGTGTTTTTCTTCTATTTATTTATTTTAATTTTTTTCATTTTTGTCAATTAACAATTATTTTGAATAGTTTTAGTGAACAATAACAATGTATTGCTCCGATATTTTTATTTTTTTTCCCCAAAACAAGAACATAATGATAACCCAAATTATTCATTCTGTCAGTTACACCTCTGTAATGGTCACTATGCATTAGAGGGTTAAAGCTTCAGGATTTTGACAAATGTATACAAATAAACGCTGTGACAAAAATATAAGATTCTCCATTATTTCTGAGTGACTAATTAAATGTAAGCAAATCTGTGTCATTGAATTTGTGAACTCCAAAAGGGGGGACAAACCAAATATTAAGAAATTCTTATAAATCGTATATTTTTAAGATTCTAATTTTTAATAAAATTGATATTTATATGTATATATTTAATGTATACTTTATATAAAGTATATCAGTACATTTAATAAAAATCCTTCATACCAATATTCCTTCAGCTTTCCTAACGGCGTCCACAGGGTCTGGTGTCTCATGGACACTGTCCACCTCATAGCCTGGAAAAAGAGAAAAGAGGAGAACAGCAGAGATGAAGGCCAATGCAGCCATCATCACTTTGCATCAAAATGGCTTCACATGCAAGGAAATTGCTACAAAGAATATTGCACCGGAAAGAACCATTTACCGGATCATCAAGAACTTCAAGGAGAGAGGTTCGACTGCAGTGAAGAAGTCTTCAGGACATCCCAGAGTGTCCAGCAAGCGCCAGGACCGTCTCCTCCCGAGGAGTCAGCTACGGAATCGTGTCACCAGAAACTTTTGGCCATGACTGTACATGTGGTAAAATCAACAAGACACAAACCCAATGTCTTGAACTTGTCTCTGGCAGTCTTGGTATAGGTGTCTCGATCATGTAGTACATATGGGACAAACAGGATCCTCTTCCCTGTTGAACAAAAAAAACAACCGGGGTCAATGCAGGTCCGATTAATTAGATTACAAAAACACAAAAGTGTGTCTCATTACGCTTATACACTTGTCGTAACTGCTAAATGGACTTATACTTTGCACTTATCCAGTGACATGCCTGCATACAGATATAAAATGTATCAGAATAGTTAATCAGAATATTAATATAAAGGGTTTTATGACTGTAATTACAAAACTATTCTTAGAACAGTAACATCAATATCCCAAAAGTTTTATTCCTACATTCCTAGTTAAGCTGCTGGCAACTTACTTTCCAAAAAAAGTCTTGGATCTGCTGCTTGCAGTGTTGAAGATATCTTCCTACATGAAGAGTGGAGTTAGATACCAGAAGAAGTCTTCTCTTCATGATCCGCTCCCGGCTGCGTTGACTCAGAAATGTAGAAGTTGATCAGAAGAAGTCAGCTCAGCTCAGCACATGACCAGCGCTTCTTCTTTCTGCTGACAGCACACACACAATCAGTTTGGTCGTAATCTTCGATACTTAACCTTTGGTCAGACAGTATATCACTCTGATTCCACAGATGACAGACCTTTACAGAAACAAGACTTGATAAGAAACCTTATAACATTACTGGAATCATGTGATTAGCAAAACATCACAAAATGAACAACAAAAAAAAAAGACAGCAGAGGCAGATCTTGAAGTACTGATCACAATTTTAAACCATCGTTTAAAACGCACGTAATGTTAAATATTAATTTTTATTTGTATTATTTTTTTTTTTAAATATGTATTAGGCTTTTTTTCAAAATAAAAGTCTAGTGGTTGAGCACCTTCATCTCTCTTTCTTTTCCTTTTTTTACAGATGAAAACGTCATTTTTTTTGCTATTTTTCAAATGGCTGTATCGATGTTCTCCTTTATTTTGGAGGGCAAGGGCAGTGACTGTAACATCGAGCGTATTTTGCAGTATTAAACACGTATTTATACGGATCTCATCAGGCTCCGAAAATTCTTCAAAAAGAACACAAAGAATGGCCTTCTCAGCTGCCATAGTTGCAACTCTTGCGTCATCAGAACAGGGTGTTCAACGCACCATCGTTTCCGTTTAAAAAACGTTTTGCACCGTTTTTGTCGGGGCTGAACGCAGCCCAGTTGTGAGATCTTGTGAAGTGTGCATGTGACCTGCATGATCACGTGTTCTCTGCGTGACTTTTGGTCCATGCAAATTGATTTCATCAATAAAACAAATTTCATAAAAAAAAAATGTAACAATAACATGAACAACTAGTGTGTGTGTGTGTGTGTGTGTGTGGATGTGTGTACTGGTTTATATATCCTGGTGGGGACTTAAACCTGACTACACACAGACTCATGGGGACTCGTGTCACGGTGGGGACCTAAATTGTGGTCCCCACAGGTACAAAAGCTTATAAATTGTACAGAATTAAGTTTTTTGAAAATCTAAAAATGCAGAAAGTTTCCTGTGAGGAGTAGGTTTAGGGGTAGGGTTGGTGTAGGGCAATAGAATATACGGTCTGTACAGTAGAAAAACAGTCATTGGCTGTTAACTTTTAAAGAGTTAAGACACTCAAACCTTAAATGGCCCATTTTACCTGATGGCCCAATTTGCCTGATATCACCCTAAGTATTTTTATTTTACAATTTTATTTTTGAATCCATTTTCAAATTATTTCAAATTTCTTAAATATTAATTAAAATAAATACAATTATATCGGCTTTATATCGGCCATCGGCCACCCTGCTTTCCAAGATATCGGCATCAGCTGTCAAAAAAACAATATCGGTCGACCACTTTTTTTTACCTGTGAGTTTTGTTCTGTGAGACCACAGTTTTAACCCTGTGAGAAAACGTTTTTTATTCAGTTAACTCTTTTGAAGAGATTTTTAAAGGTGACATATCATGAAAATCTGATTTTCCAGGTTTTAAGTGCTATAATCAGGTCCTTGGTGCATCTACCAACCAAGGAAACTGAAAAAGATTAACCCAGTAACTTTGTTTAGGTAAGCTTTTTTTCTGAAGGTGTCTGAGAAAACGAGCACGTCTGATTTCGCTCCCTTGGTAACGTGGCAAAGGGATCTCATTATAATATTACTGCCCCTTAATCTGCAAGTTTTCACTCAAGTCGCCTTCATTTTGATTTTGCAAGCGACAAAGGTGTACCAGCTCTAATGCCATGGCGAAAGTTTGAGCAAAACATGCTAACTGCTCTGTCTTTGGCTGCACAGACAAGCACAGAACACTATTTACATTTTACATTATTTATTTAATGTATATTGCTGCTGCCACCCAGATCTAAAATAAACAAGCGATTTATTTCCCAGTTGTTTACCTTCACAGACATAACCGACTGTTTTTGTAACTCATGTGCGTTTTAACGTAAACTTGTGTGTGAATGAGAACTTAGTTTAGTATTCACATGCTGTGACAGCAGCTTTCTGTCCGTGTGCTTTGGATGTGTGCTCTCAGAAAACCTTATATCTGAAGTTTAAGCTCATATGGTTTAAAACGCATGATTTCAGCCCGATAAACATGATAATCAGAACCAAAACAG